TACAACCAGAAGACCAAGCTTCGCCTCCGTCTTCGAGATCATAATCTTCTCCTCCCTCGTCGCTACAATCATCTCCGCCGTGGGTCTCCAGATCGCCGGTGAGCAACACGAACTGAAGAGAGAAATGAATGGATTCTCCAAGGGGAAAGGCTTGTACGTGATGGCTCTGGTGGGTCAAGCCGTTTCGTGGCAGGTCTACTGGGTCGGTATCGTGGGACTCGTCTTCTCCGTCTCGAGCGTGTTGTCGAACGTGATCAGCGTCATCACGTGGCCGATCGTGTCGGTGCTTATTGTTATCTTTTTCAAGTTCATGGACGATGAGGTCGATGTCTTCAAAGGCGTCGCCTTGGTCACTGCCGCCTTTAGCGCCGCCGCTTATTTCTATAGGCTTCACAAAGAGAATCGTGACAGTGCCAAAGTTTGGGTTCCCCAAATTTATTTTTAAGTTTTTTTTTTTTTTTTTTCATTTTGTGATTTTCACATATTTTAGTTGTTTATCGAAGAAATTTGTAAAAATGTTACCAGAAATCATTCCGTTTATGCTCTCGTCCTGAGAATGATTAGTGTTTGCATTGAAGAAACATTGAATCTGAGTTTTAAAGTTGTGTCAATAATGCATGGCAGTGCGAATAATCATAGATATTGTTTCATAAAACATGACTATCGAAATGGTCGAGATATTCATGATATCTTGATAGGTTCTATACTTATTATTAAGCAGCAATAATACTTCATGATATCGTCCAAGATGTATCAATAATCTGTCCTTGTGTTAATGAATATCCTAGATGTTAAAAGTGTTAGCTGCCAAACTCTATCTATATATTTATGCTCGATAAGTTATTGTTTTGAAGATGATTTCGCAACTCGAGTCATTAAATATCAATAACAATGACCCGTTTTAAGATAATTTATGCCGGGAGCTGCCAAAATGGGCACCGTGTTTTGTCCAACTTCTGTAACGTAGGAAGTTGGAAATGAATAGTCTTTGTTTGTCCATGACGAAAGTAAACAAGTCAACAAATATTCTTTTATGCCATTTCCATTTTCTTAATGATTAACTGAAAACTGAATCATAAATCCAATTCTGATTATCGTTAACATCAAACAAACAAAAAAACAAATCCTGAATAAATATATTATTATATTATCAACCCATCGTTTTCGTCGAAAATTGCTTGAATTTTGTTAAAACAGTGGGTCTTTAATATAATGCAAGTTGATTGCGCCCTTGAATGCTCACTTTAATGGGTCGAATATATTACCAAACCATCTCTTCACTTTCTTTCTTTTTTGGTAACACGAAGCAACGCGGAAAAGCTGAAAACGACGACGCGTAGACATGAGATCGCTTCATTGGCTGACCATTACGCCGCCAAGGTAGACTTTTCTTGTATGTATATAAACAAAACTTCTCCTTCCATTTCCATTATCTCAAAACCATAACATCAATCCACTCAAATATCTCAAAACACAAGCCAATCGGATCTCCGACACTACTTCGACGACAAATTCGTTTAAAATCAAGTCAATCAGAGTTCCAAACCATGGCTCAGAATCAGCAACCAATCTTTCAGACAAAGCCACCAGGTAATAATAAACAACTTTAGCCAAATGATTTTCTTCTTCATCTCCTCCTCCTCTTCTGCAAACAATTCGATTCAAATGTCTCAATTTTCCTCTCTCTTTTGCAGAACATTTTGTGCAGATTCCAATAAATCCCATAAACATCGAGCGTGATTCAACCACACTCATAAACCAAACCGGAAACAGAAAACCAAACCACTGGCCAACGATTATCATCTCAATCATCTTCGTCATCGTCGGTCAATCAATAGCCAGGCTCCTCGAAAACTTCTACTACGACCAAATCAACCGCAGCGGCTACGACGAGAACCGTCAAAACGACGGCGTTTGGACTCAGTCTCTCCTCCAATCCGTCGGATTCCCTCTCCTCATCCTCCCTTTCATCATCCTCACCAAGAAACACAACCGACAACAACCTCCGATCACTTCCGATCAATCCCACTACAAATCCCTCGCCGTAATCTACATCTGCATCGGAATCCTCATCCCGGCTCAAGGAAGACTCTCCGCGATGGGAAGGCTCGAGATTCCATTTGACCGTTTCACTCTCATCTACACGACGCAGCTCATCTTCACTCCGATCTTCGGCCGTTTGTTCAACAAAACCAAATTCAACCGATGGATGGTGATCTCCTTGATTCTCGCGATCGTCACCGGAGCTCTCACTTTATCTTCCGCATTCGGCGGCGAGCCAGACGAAGCGGAGATCAATTACGGACGAGGCTCGTGGGCGGCTCTGTTCTCCGGGATCTGCTTCTCTCTCCTCCTCTGCAACTTCCAAAACGTCTTGGACAATTACATCTACAAACGCACCGAATCGACCACCAGAAAACCAAGCTTCGCCTCCGTCTTCGAGATCATAATCTTCTCCTCCATCGCCGCGTCGATCATCTCCGCCGTGGGTCTGCTGATCGCCGGGGAGCAGCACGAGCTGAGGAGAGAGATGAATGGGTTCTCCAAGGGGAAAGGCTCGTACGTGATGACCATGGTGGGTCAAGCCGTTTCGTGGCAGGTCTACTGGGTCGGGATCGTGGGGCTCGTCTTCTCCGTCTCGAACGTGCTGTCGCACGTGATCAGCGTCATCACGTGGCCGATCGTGTCGGTGCTTGTGGTGATCTTCTTCAATTTCATGGACGATGAGCTCGATGTCTTCAAAGGTGTCGCATTGATCACTGCCGCTTTAAGCGCCGCCGCTTATTTCTTTAGGCTTCACAAAGAGAATCGTGACAGTACGTTTTAAGTTTGGGTCTTTATACATTCTTTTATAAGTTTCTTTTTATAATTTTTCCTTAATTTTGTGATTAATCGTATATTTTTAGTTGTTTATTTGTGTATCTATGTAAGTGTGTGTAAGAGCTTCGGCTGTACTTGTTGATGTAAATTTATTTTTATATGTTATGCTTTTACAATTGGTGGAATAACTCAAGAGTAATGCAAACGATTCTTTACTTAAAATCATTTTTCTGGTCATGAAGCTACACAGAAAGGTTGAAACTTATAAATATGGCCTCACTTCTTTGACTAGTACACTGACAAGTGACAGTGGTGACCTCTCTTTGTATTGAATAAACACCACAAATTAGATTTTCCCAAGCATCGAATCTCTGATTACTGAAGTCAAAATATCTGCAGTCTCCGACATCAGTTCTCCAAGCTCAGTCACAGATATCTGAAACCATGGCCAAGAATCACCAGCTACTAAAAACCAAGCCACAAGCTTGATTTAGCCAAATATGATCTTACTATCAAGTAACAACTACTCTCTCTGTGAATTGTCACGATTCGACCACGCTTATCAACTAATTGTTAATTTACATTCATTTTGTAAGTTTTATAATGAAATGTTTGGAAGTGTGTTTGTATGTTAAAATGAAACAACCTCATGAAAGATGCCTTTTCCCATTATTGATCAAGCTCAAAAGTTCCAACATTTACCTGTTCAGAGAGAAAAATTCCAATTTTTTACAACTTTTTGTTTCTCCTGTTTTCTATACACAGTTTTCTAACGGGGCCTCTTTAGTAGTCTTTAGTGAGCATCTGTTGTGTCTTCTTCGCCAGTATTTTTGTATTCTGGTTTAAGCTCGTAGCTTCTCGCATGGCCATTGTACACACAAAGCTCTCTCAGTATTCCTCTCAAGAATTCCTGAAAAAAAAAAAAAAATAGAGTTTCAATCGAAACGTTGAAAATTTCTGGATATGAGTCTTAAGAAGAGAGAACATACCTCTGGTTGGTTGGTTTCTTGAAGAAGCTGCTTCCATGTCCGTTTCGGTTGTCAGTATCTTCACTTCCACCTTACCACGACTGCTTCTACTCCTCCATTTAAGCTTCACTGAAGCAGTCTTCTTCTTTACCTGTTTCATGGAGGAACAGTGTAATAAGAGTAAACCATTCACATAACAGAACCGATTCTCTGGAAATCTAAGAGACAGAGAAGCAAAACATTACCATCACAGGATTGGAGATCAAGTGCAGTCCACAGCAATTCTCAAGAGCCTTTTCAGGTAATTTCAAAGAAAAGAAGTTTGATCTAATTAGCTTCTTATAATGGTAAAAAGAAAGACTATGGTTTTCCAAAAAGGGAAACGTGAAATTGAACCAACCTGTGTGTGTCTAGGCGTCTAGCTTCAGCCACATGTTTTCTGTTCCTCTCTTGACAAAGCTTTCCGTATTCTTCAATGCCACAGTGTGGTCTCATCTCGAGTTTATCTGTTAATGTTCCTTCCACAGCAACTTCACCTAATACCAATTTATGAAAGATATGTCATCAAGTGATGATAATTCATGTCTATGAAACTATAAACACATAAACCAAAGCCAAAGACCAGACCTTGATTTGCTTCAGAGAAGATACTCATTGGACCACGAAAGTCTTTGGATTTGTTCACAAAATAGAGCTTAGAAACGTTCCATAACTCAGCACCAAGGATCTCCATAGTCAACTAAAACAGACCACCAAAAACCAATAAACCGAACACATCAATATTAGACTAACCAAACGATGCAAGCTATGACATTTCAGAAGCTGAAGAGTTTTACAATCAAACGATGTAAATCCATGAAAAAATTAGGTTTTACATCGACGAATTGTTCAAAATCCAAATCTGATTCCGTGCGATTCCCAAATTTAGTCTGACCTGACATAAAAAGGATAAGAAAGAGTGGAGGATGCAATTGAATTACCTCAGGAGACAAATCGGAACGGAGGAGATTGACGGAGTCAGTATACTTCGCCATGGGAACAGAATCAGAAGAAAGAGAAGAAAGGTCGCGCCATGCCTTGACGACTCTTGGTGGACACTGGACACTTCATTAGCCAAACCATTTGGTCGGCGTTTTCCGTCTCTAGTTCGTGAAAGTTCATTTGATCGTCTTCCATCGCTAATTCGATCAATCTTTCAATCGCTTTCACAAAATTCTTCTCATTTTCTTGCGGTTTCTTTCTCTGGATCTTCTGCATTTCGGATTTTCCCATTGTTTGTTTCTCTTCTGCGAAAGCGGGAAAACACAGAGAGAGAGAGAGAGAGAGAGAGGACATAGTAGCTTTATACCCGACCCGTCTGTTGACTGATAGGCCGAGGCCCAATAAGTCCTTATGGGCCCATTTTTATTTAGCATAACAAATAAGTAATTTAGTGAGGAAAATAAAATGTCATTTTTATACTGAGGAAAAGAGGATATCGTTTTTATACTTTTTTTTAATCTCTATATTTTGCGTCCAGAATTTTGATAATTTTATGATTATTCACACACAAGAAAAAAAAAGTAAAAATCCTCAATTCTAAGGGATATCAACCTTTTTCACATGGTTGTTTGATATGTATTGAACATGTTTTTTTGTGTTTTTTAGAAAAAGGATTTGATAAATAAAATGTCATATCAGTCGTAATCGAATTATATTAGGTTTACAGATGTTGTGGGGATGCATGAAAAACCTATGTTTTTTGAATATCTATGGAAATTTTAACTTTGACCATTGACGTTTACTATGTTTCTTGACCCATTTTAACTTTTTTATTTCCAACATGATTAACAAGTTATCCTCCACATATCAATAGTATCTACAAGCTTTCATTTGAACTGATAGAGAAAGTGGTCTGGCAAAAAAAACTGATGACATATTAGCTCAATTTCCAAATGGAAGTTTTGGCTGAATTATACAATTTGGTGACATAAATGTCAAATTGGAGTTAATCTTTTCTTGTTACCAATTAAAGCATATACTAACCAATCGTAAAGAGGCTGCACTAGTGAAAGTTTGAAACAAAAGGTGAAGCAAACTAAGCATTTAACAGATGAGATTTTTTTCTGCTAGCTACTTTAACAAAATGAATCTTAGCTGAAATAATACAACTGAAAGTGAGAGAATGCGAGAAGAAATCACATGTCGCGAGTCAGATACACTACAGTATTTGTGACACTTCAATCTTTTCCTCTGTCACCTTTAGATGTCCTAAATCAAGCAATCTATAACTATAATAATTATTATGATATTGATCGGATGAAAATTCCATCAAAAGCTTTAACAAAGAAAATTCAATCAAATGCATAAAATTCCATTAAGTAAATAGCAAAATAAGTTGGAAATCTTACCTTCAAATAAAACATTCACCTTATAAGGGAGGGTTGCTATACTTCGATCGACCAAACTAACTTGAAATTAATAATAAAACATGTGTGCATATGAATATGATGAGGTTACTCTACAACCAAATGATACATCATACATCCATGCAAGTAATTATGTAGAGCAGTAGAGAAGTAGTTAGTAGACTTGAATGCCCTAAATTATTCTCCATTTACGTTCGTCTACAACAATTAATAATTCACATGTAATGTATTGTCCTCATCAATAATTTTGATGATTTTTTCTTCACAATAATTAACTCTAACGTCCGATTTTCCACAATAAGTCGTCATCTCCATGTGGAACTACAACTTGTAAGTTGTTACTATTGTCGATTATAGATAAGCGAGCCAGCCATCAAAATTTATTCGACGATTAGTATTTATCCGATTTCAGGAAGGATCTTAAATTAACTTGTTTCGGGTAACGGACGAATTTGACACTCAGTCTCATTTTTGGATTTACATGAATTGATTAACACTCAAACTTTTAATATTGCATGAATAAATGTAAAAACATATCAAATGGTTTCTACTGTTTTACTCTGCGGATATTGGATTGGGTAGCATAAAATTTTTACTTTTACATAAATAGATTTGAAATAGTTTGCTCAATTGAACACGAAACCTAGTTAAGTCCTGTTTAGATCCGGCAAGCAAACGGATAAACTGGGAAAAAGCAGCTTCGAGTTCAACACCAGCCAGAAAGCTAATTCACTATCAAACCCAACTCTATTTTATACCAAAAATTTAACTTTTAAAATAAAGAAATCTCGTCATTTATCAAAAAAAAATCGTTGAAAAAGAAAACCAAGGAGTTATGTCGATCGCATTGGGAAGACCAATTATTAAAAGAACAAGCAGATTATCAAAGTTGAAACTCTTGACAGTTAACTTCATAAATAATCTCTCGTTTCTCCCCCAAAAAAAAAACATAAATTAATTTCTCATTTATATCTAAAAGAACGTACGATGTGCATGTTAATCAGTACTCAGAAGCCCTAGCTAGGTACGAAAGTAACCATATAGTCCGACAGCAACATAAAACCCTCGAATTAATCATCTGTAGTGGTTCTCTGATAATTATAATTAAATATCACAAAGGTTTTAATAAATTTAAATGTTTCAAACTCATGACCTAGGTGTTGCGAAAAAAGACGTACCACCGGCAACAAAGGCGTTGAACGGAGCCGCCGCCGCCGTGTATAGCGACGAAGGGTCAACCGATCCGTTATTAGTATTACCGGCAGCTACGACGGTTGTAGTGGCGGCTGAAGCAGTGGAGGCCAAGAGGCTAAGCTGGTGTTGAGAGGTATTCGTGGCGAGGCTTGAGCTGTAACGGTGGTGGTGGTCATCTGATGGACCTTGGTTGTAGAGAATGCCTTTGAACACGTGTCCTCCGATGCTCACAGCTGTTTGATATGCATACTCTTCGTCTTCATCGTCGACTGAACTAACTCTCATACACCGGAAAACCGCCGGTGAACTTATTTCCGGCGGTAATTGGCTTGCCTCTAACCCTAATTTCATGTAAAATAAATAATTATTACAGAATCCAAACAAAGCCTATATATTTTAAAGTAAACTTTTGGTTCTTGAATCAGATAATCGAATAACAACCAAATGTTTGTAAACAATACCAAACCCTTGTTTCATTTGACATAAATCCTTGGAAAAAAAACCTAAACCGTTTAGTTTTTAAAAAAAAGGTTTTGACTTTTCAGTCAAATATTTAATAAAAACCAAATCTTTGATAGTGGGTTCAAGTAGTCTCATGAAATCGATAAAAGCCCTTTGTGTCGTCAGGTTTACCGAAGAACAGTGACTTGAAAATATAATCATCATCAAAATCAAACAGCATGAAAAAAAAAAAGCAAAATCCGGTGGACATATCCATCCATCCATTCACTCAAATAATATTTGACAAAACAATCATACTCAGATCTTTTCATAACCCAACAAAAAAATTTGAATCTTTAATAAATTTCCACTAAATGTCTAAATATCGTCGATCAATCTGTTTAGGTTACTAATTAAAAACTCATTTTACCTGAAGAGCTAGCATTAACCACACGGGTGCAAGCAAGAGCCGAGCCACCACCATTTGCATCGTCCTCTCTATCATCATCGTCACCACCGCCTGAGCTAGCCTCTCTTATCCGCTTAGCTGGCACAGTAGCTAGCTGAGCCTGTCTCTCACGGCGTCTAGCAGCCGGGACCCACGTGCTCTTCACGTGGGTTTGGCAATCAAACCCTCGGCTCTTACAACAAGTACGGCATCTCATATGAGGACAATCTTTCTTGGCTTGATTCCCACAGTCTTGGCAGTTCATGTTTCCTTGCCTCGTTACCGTAAACCCTCCCGTAGAGGATCTCACCGGCTCATGATCGGAGACGACGTTGAAGTACAGACCCCGATTACTACTCCGGTTGTTGTTATTGCTTCCACCACTTGGGACCATACCAAAGGAGTAGAGATTTGTTGGAGGAGCCACAGGATTTTGTTGTTGTTGCTGCTGTTGAAAATATTGAGGTGGCCAAATCTCAAAACCCTTGTTGTTGTTGTAGATCTCGTCTTTGTATAGATAAAGATAGTTATTGCTCTTGTCTTCATTATGATCCTTGTCTTGATGATGATGATCTTGTTTGCTGTTATCTCTCCCACCTAGATAGAACAATCCAGCCATTTTTTCTACCTCCACATCACAAACACACACCAAGGAAAGAGAGAATTTATGAAACTGTTGTGGGGTTTGTTAATAAATTAATTTTGGGGATTCGAGTCTACCTTTTTTTTTTTTTGTTGCTCTCTAGCTAGCTCATTAATTTCTAGAGTTGGAGATGTGTTTGGTTGTTTAAAAGGAGCAGATTTGGGAGCAGATGAGAGAGTAATGATGGTGAGGAAATTTAAGAAAGTATACTGCAAAAGCCGCCAAGGTTTCTCTCTTCTCTTCAAATCATTTAAGACACTGATTTACTTATCTCTCTGTCTCTCTCATCAAGAACTCGAGCAATTTACTGCTACGACTGGTTTTCTCTGTCGAGAGAGAAAGAGAAAGAGAGAGAGAGAGAGTTAAGAGATGGAGAGTACTATGAAGATCTTCTTCTATGGGGCACTTTCTCTACAGTTGTCTTCCAGTTCCAATGAATCCACATCACAATAAATATCACGCGATACATATATACAATATAATAAATTAACCTATATAGTTTTTTTGTAAGATCATTTTTATTTTGGTTTTCGGAGCTATTATCAAACGCTATTTTAAAGTAAGTTCTTCTAGAGTAATCATACGATTATATACATATCCTCTCTTTTTAAAAAACTATATACATATCCTAGTTACCTAATGCTTTTATCTTTGTCACTATACTTTGTCTTAATGATATCCAAATCTACATGAGATTTTTTTTTTGTAAAAGGTGATGATAAAATGATAACCTTTAAATCCGAAATACATTGAATTTTGTTCTTGGATTACATGTACTGTATATTATACCCAGATAAGGAAGTTCTAATCAAGACTGAAATTTACAATACTTATGTTGTTTCCGAAAATTTATTAAAAGTTAGAACAGCGAGAAAAACATACAACCAAAGGATAGTAATAGAACATCGAATAACTTGTTAAGCAAAAATTAACCACAACGAAGAAAGTAGGCTCACATCTTTCGCCATTGATTTTTTTTGCAAACGGTACGCAGAGCGCCACGTTGCTGTAAATACGATTTATCGTATTCGCACTTCCCCCCAAATTCCCCATTGTTTTTCAGATTATTAATTTTTCTTTCTAACAACGATCTCGATCGATAGTTGATAGGAATAGTAAAATAAAATTTAATCTACAAAATACTTATCTTACATATTTAAATAATACTTAAAAGTACTTAACTAATGTACATGAATGTGTTACTTGTTTCATTAGTATTTTTTGTCAACAATTTTTTCATTGGTTGCCGCTTAATCAACAACGAATTAGACGATCATTGACATAATCTCACCGGTAATATTTTAACAATTATATGTTTCATTTGCTTAATTATAGATAAGACGCCGTAAAGCTTACGTGATTTTCAAATGTAATATCGTTCGATAAATTTGGTACGTAATTTAACTTAATATTTTTTCACATGTGTCCGTACTTTAACTTGCAAGCCATTAAATTGAATCTTAAGTTCTTAGAGCAAATCATCCAAACCTTATCCAAGCAATATAGAGTCTAGTTAATGCTGTTCACGAGCTTATTAGAAAATAATGCAACCATGATCAATATAATGAGATTATTATATGACGATTTATCGATTTTCATAATTGAAACTCTAAAGAGTGCTATGAAAATGCGGTTAGACAAAGTAATTATTCAAATGTGCATTTTTCTATTGGATTTGCTTGACAGCAAACCCTATATATAGTCTAAGCAGTTTTTAGGTCACGAGTTATAATTATCAACCAACATTTGGATAGGATCCACTTCGTTCTCCAACCAAGGTTTTAGCTTTTGGGGATATAATATAATTGAAATAAGTAAGATTCATTATAGTATTTACAAATCCGTAAGTTTATTGATTCGTATAACTAAGTAATCCCTAGCCATATAGTCCATAAACTATGTAGGAGAAAAAAGTTAGAGACCTTTTAATTGGCGTGAGAGTGAGACCAAACAAGCAAATCCACTCCGGGTACTTTGATCACGTGGAACCGCGTGATTTAGCGGCGCAATTTAATGTTAATTAGTAATTTAGCGCCATTTGAAAATTAAAGCCTATAGTTATCTTTTTGTCTTGCGTCAAAGGTCAATACTTAAATAACTCTAGCAAATCCACTCCTTGTTTCAGCTTTATCAAAAAGAAAAAAAAAATGGTTGTGTTAGTGTACATAACGGCAGTGATGTAGTTGTGTATATATGACCGGTAGCGAGAAAAAACAAATTCATGACTATACTGTTTTCTTTATTAGGGTTTTTTTTTTTTCTAATAAGGGATTTCAAATTTTCTTTAATGGGTTATCACAATATATTGATGTAAATTGGCATGTTTAGTTCAGTCTAAGTTCAGGACTCATGACTGAGATTTTGACTTTTCTAGATGTTACAAAACATCGTTATCAACCGACCAGTTAATACACGATAAATATAATGAAACATTGCAATCCATTCCCCATCAATGACGTTAAGTCCATAAAAATTCATACAAAGTTGTGTAATACTATTGTCTTGTGAACTATAGTAAAGCTGTGTAATTAGGGACCTAAGGCGGGAGGTGTATATATATGATTTTTTGTGGACTTAATAATAAGAAGTATTTTGTCTGCGCTTATAATTTTCACAAATTATAGTCTTTTATCTTGATTTAAATCATGAACTCCTAACTTTCATTACTACGGATCTTCATGATTAAACTAGTTGCCTAATCTTCCTTTTGTCTGATCTGTAAAATTTTCTATTCTCTGTTTGTTGGGCGGTTCAATGAATAGCTTACCTTAAATTGCTCTTTTGAGCCGTAATAATCTCAATACATACGGATATATATATATTCTCTATTTTTTTCTGTAGAATATGATGTTAATAACTTTCATTGTTTTTCAACGGCACGAAGGTAATCTTTGGGGACAACTTACACATTAACTTGCGTGCCCTAGAATAATTATTGCTAATGATATAACAGAGAACCCGATGTTTAGTGGTTAAATTATAAATGATTATTGGAACATGATCTTACTATGATTTGTCAATACTCAATACACACACATAAAGGCAAGTAGAGAGTGAGGAGTGCATGACTTGTTTGGGGAAATTTATAGAAGAAGAGAAATCCCAATTATTATGTCTTTGTCTTTCACTCTCGAGCCTTGTGCTTACCTTTCCCTTCAGCTCTATACCTCTCACTCCTAAAAGTTAAAACTAGCTAGAAGTCAATCATTATCCTTGCTAGCTAGTAGTATACGTGTTATTTGTTTTGGTTAGTTGGCTAGTATACATAGTAGTATTGGGTATTGACGATGACGAAAACAATTTACTGTGATATTGGTTTAGTAGTCACACTTTCTTTTCCGATATAATAGATATGATGTTACATAGTATTGATATGGTCGAATCAATATGCCCTTCCGTAATTTTTCACTAGTCACGTTGTTTTACAAAATCGTGATAACTATTCAACAATATCGTTTTCTCTAACCTTCTAATAACAATAAACAACAAAATCACAATGCTAATGTTTATAACCATTTTTTTTAATCTTATCTTTTCATTTGGCATAATGTTTCGGAAGACATACTTACATACAGACCATTAGTGGAACAAACTGAATTTGTTAACAAAATCAAAAGAAATTGTTTCTCTACTGTATTCAAGAGGAATGAGTAGAATAATGTTATTCCTCTAAATCCTTATTCCATTAATCTACAATTCATTCATTTTTTATTCTACTCGCTCCTCTGATGTTTACTAATTATATCCTACGGAATTAAAAAAAATTAACGAACTCAATTCCGGTAGCCATATTAGCATAAAGTTCTAGGTTCCTTATAATTAGAAAGCAAAACAAAAAAACAAATAGATGTAGATGTTGTAAACTTTAACATAAGACTGAAGGTTCCACATTCCTCTGTGACCATCAGTTTTTTAGCTTAAAGCTAAGTGATAATTATGCTCTTTCCGCCACGAATGGCTTTTTGTCTTGTTAAATAAAGGGAAGGAAGTGACCCAAAGCTTCTTGCTAAAGTTAAGATATACAGTTTAAGCTTCATTCGTATGTAAACACATGCAATTTACAAATTATATTTACAAAGTCGAATCTGATACAAAGATAACCGAATAAGTAAAGAAAAGATATACCATGTTTTTTCTTTACTCAGACACGATTAGGCAAACTTGGTCCAAGGCTAATGTTTCGATCGATGCCAACTTCGAATTCAATACTATGTCGGGGAAGAATCATTGGCTTGGAAAAAAAAACACGAATTAAAAAAGAAGAAAAAACTAAACTTCCAAATATATATGTATCTACTAAAAGAAAATGTAATTCTTAACTAGCTTATACGATTTTAATTGCACAAAAGATTATAGATTATAGTGTGTTTAGACTTGAGATAGGTGAGAGAAGTAAAGTGGAAACAAAAAAGAAAGAAAGAGAAAGGAAGAGGGGTATAGGAGTAGCTCTGAAACCCTAGACGAAAGCAACACTGCATTGCCAATAGTAGAAACAGTGGAAGATCACGAGATTCAACTCATTCCTACTTTCTTACTTCTTAGTATCCACTCCACTTGTAGAACTAGCTAGCCCCCTGCCACGTGGTCCTCTCCTCTTCTTTTAGCTTTATGGGCCTTCTTGAGCCCCCGGGCCCCATCTACCCATCCCATGCACATGCATCACATTATTCTTTCTCTCCACTGTATATATTTTATACGATTTTTTAAGTATACGGGCGTACATAGCACCTTTTTTACCCTCGTATATTAATCAAATCGAGTGCTCATCATTTTCATGTAGTGAGCGTAACGGTAGTACAAGAAAGTCGTGTTTTAGTATGTTGCCTAGTTCTGTTGAACTCGATGAGTTTTTAATATCGAATAAAACCTTAGATCTAAACAATATATTTGTATTGTAATTAAGAAAGTAAGAAATCCCTAACAACCTTAGACATAATTCTAACAAAAATTGAATAATTGTACAGATAAAACTAGAGGAAATAAAATACAAATATTGAACATCTAGCAGAACTATACGATATTGTCTAAAGCGCAACGTATTTTTCCAAAACTCATATACTGCAATTTATTTATTTTATCTCTTTTGTTTTAAGAAATGAGACACTCTACTAAACGCTTGCATTTAATTGAATGGAATTATGGAATGACTTCATGGAGAAGTAATTTGTTTGGTGTGTAGTGTAGAGTGTAGAGTAGGGCAAATATGAATAAATAAAACGTAGAGAGGCGTATATTATACAGAGAGGTGTGCTTTTAAAGAACGGACCGGCCGAAGAGAAAGGGCTCGTTCTTGTCTCCGCAAAGGTTACAAAGACTTACTGTCATGTGACCACCACCATTTCTCTTTTCTCACACATTTAGATAAATTTGTTTATCTTGCTGAAAGAAAAAAAAAAGATAATATCTTTATCTACATCGTCCTTTCGATACTGGTTTATTGATTTGTTGCTATATACCAAGTGTTGTATACAAGTGGACCATGATGACTTAAGCCCACGTGTTGTTGTTGTTGTGCAATTGCAAAATATATTGGGCTTTAAGGTCCAGTTTATTTTTTTTTGCTATTTCGTGTTTTTTTTTTTTTTTTTTTTCTGAGAACGGATTGCGAGTTAAACCCACATCCTTTTCTCAACTGTTTAGTTGTGTTTTTGTTCATGTTGGCTCTGTGTTACTTTCTCTCTCGATGAATCCTCTGAAGCAAGCTTCTTCGATCTCCCTAGCTTCGTTTCGTCTCTAATCGTAAATTTTCTTCAATCTATGATTCATATATGCTAAATTTTTCAGTGTTAGCTGCTCTTTTCAAGATTTTGTGTCGATACAAAGTGAGAATATTGATTGATAAACTCAATTGATTGTTCCCGTTCTGTTGTGAGATTTCACCTAAATTAGTCTGTATATGATCGTAAATGTTTAGATTGGATTCGAAATTGACTCCCTTAGAGACTGATTGATTGCTCAGGAAACGGAACTTAGTTATAAGCATTCGTTGCATCGATTTGGATCTCAGTGACTGTGATTCAATTGAATTCAAAACTGATTATGTGTTTTCTATTGCATTTCGTGGGTTTAATTTCAATTTTGTTTGAAAATGCACATTTCTTTGGATTAAAGCTCTTAAATCTCGCTTATTGCTTTAATAACAGGCTAATCGCGTTTGGCGTGTTGCCTTGAATTGAATACTCAGTTGAATCTGAATCAGTGAGCTCCTAAAAGAAGAAGACAACAATGATGCAGACTTGTTGTATCCATCAATCGTTTTGTTCCCCTCATAGGTATATTTGTGTAGCCACAAGTTTAAAGCTTTCTCATTTGCTTCTGCTTCAAAATGATTCTTAAAGTTTTTTCTTTACTATTTGCAGAATTGTTCCAAGATCTGATGCTTTGCTCGCTATTAAGCCTCCAAAAGCTTGTAGAGTTGCTTTCACCGGAAAAAGCCAGCCTTTGAGGTTTCCGAATCTTACACGGCAAAGAAAACTATACGTGAGCTTCAATGCTAACGATGGTCACCCTCACACATCCATGTCTAAGTTGGAAGAAGAAGAAGAAGAAACCTCCACTGAAACCAACTCGCCGGCGAGTCAAGAAGCAGAGCTTCCGTTCAGCAAATGGTCACCTTCAAAATACATATGGAGAGGTTTATCAGTCCCAATCATAGCAGGACAAGTCGTCCTCCGGATTCTCAAAGGCAAGATCCACTGGAGAAACACTCTCCAACAGCTCGAGAGAACCGGACCGAAATCTCTCGGAGTTTGCCTTCTCACTTCCACGTTCGTTGGCATGGCTTTCACGATCCAGTTCGTCAGAGAGTTCACTAGACTAGGCCTCAACAGATCCATCGGAGGCGTCTTGGCTTTAGCCTTCTCCAGAGAGCTGAGTCCAGTCATCACATCGATTGTCGTCGCCGGAAGAATGGGAAGCGCGTTTGCAGCTGAGCTAGGGACGATGCAAGTCTCAGAGCAAACCGATACGCTTCGTGTGTTAGGAGCAGACCCGATTGATTATCTGATCACGCCGAGAGTCATCGCTTCGTGCTTGGCTCTACCGTTTCTCACGCTCATGTGTTTCACTGTTGGCATGGCTTCGAGCGCTCTGCTCTCTGACGCGGTCTACGGGATTAGCATTAACATAATCATGGACTCGGCTCATCGAGCGCTTAGACCGTGGGACATTGTGAGCGCCATGATCAAGTCTCAGGTGTTTGGAGCTATAATATCTGTGATTAGCTGTTCTTGGGGAGTTACTACTACTGGTGGAGCTAAAGGTGTTGGAGAGTCTACGACTTCTGCTGTTGTCATGTCTCTTGTTGGGATCTTTATTGCGGATTTTGTGCTTTCTTCCTTCTTCTTTCAAGGTGCTGGAGATTCTTTGAAGAATTGTGTGTGACATTTTTATTTATTTTTCAGATGTTTGTGGTTTAAGATTGGTTTTTGTGTAAACCAGTCGTCTCCAAAGTTAGATCTCAAAAGAGAAAAGGAACATCAATGATCTATATACGTATATCAATTTTCGACAATGATGTGTTAACCAGTTCAACTGAAAATTTCTTTCCGAAACAGAAGCTTAGCTCCAACGACTTCCGATAATGCAAATGATGAGCAATCTATAGTCTTTTTGGTCGAACTAAAACATCAAATTTTGTTTTCATCAATTTTTGTTTCTAATGCGAAACTTACATGGCGGCTATTAAGTTGTGGATTTTTTTTTTTTTTTTTTAACATGCATCTCTCGCTAAATTACAAAACAAGAAATGGAAATATAGAAGATGAATTGAATGGGTTTTGGGATGTGCATGTGCATAGTGGCAGGATTATTAATTGAGGAAGCCTCAATTGGTTAGAGTACTGTCCTTCTTCGTCCTTGACGTTTGCATGAAATTGTCTTTTTTTACGATCTCATCGAAATGCTACCGTTTCTAGTTACTAATCATCGGTTACTCTCAGCTTATAAATTGGAATTACAAAACAAGCACGTACGTCATGGATGGTGTCCACTACGTTTGCATTATTATAGTTACGTTCGAAATATAAAAATGAGTTTATAATATTCCATCTTTATTTTAACAAAAAACAAAATCCGATGTTTAGTTATTTTTTCTTTTAAAGAAACTACGTCGAGTTTTGTCATTTCTGTTTCTTACAAGTACTGTACTATACATTGTAGACATCCAAACAAACTATTGTATGTGGTTCTAAAATTTTCATACGTAACGTTCAACAAATTGACAAAGAAATAAATAACGTACAGAAAATATCTATTCCGTAGCAGACACACACTTCATATATCGAGACACACACATCTAACTTTACCCCACGCCTCAAAATTACCTATCTATCTTTGTGTGTGTATATATATATATATACATTTCATATGGAGATGTTAGATGTAGATATATAATCTACCTAAACTCGATTTTGCCAGAATCTGTTAATCATTTCAATTTTTTCTTAAAGGTTTGAAGTTCGGTTGGTCACACCACGTAGTTATACAAGGCTACTAGCCAACACGCGATTAACCGTTGGATGCGAGAGGAAAAAAATGATAGATTTGGCGGATCTGATTCATTATTAATATATTGAGATTGTCAAATTCCTTTTTGTTTTTCAAACCTTAAAAAACTGATCCAGTCCAAATGTCGAATACTAGGATGTGTCTTAGTGACTTTTAGCCCAAAATATCTCTCATTTTCTAAGTGTTGTATATTATAGCAATATATTTGTGTGTGTGTGTATATCTCTCTCTACATAATTACTGAAACCATCCAGGCATCCATAAATACCCCAAAACCACAGCTCAACAAACTGTTCTTCATTCTCTTCACTCCCAAAGCCACAAACAACAAGAAAAAAATATATATAAAAAAAGAAGATTTTCAAACACAAAACAAAAAGCTCGAGATTAATTATATAAATCGAAGAAAAACCACATTTCATTCCCCGGGGATTTAAAGAGAATGGCTATCATAAAGCTGACGACACAAACGACCATGATAAAGCAAATCTTGAAGAGGTGCTCGAGTTTGGGGAAGAAACAGAGCAACGACGAACGCGAGCATGATGGAGACTCTCTTCCATTGGATGTTCCCAAAGGTCACTTCGTGGTCTACGTTGGGAAGAATCGGGTCAGGTACGTTTTACCCATTTCGTTTTTGACCCGACCGGAGTTTCAGCTTCTTCTACAACAAGCTGAGGAAGAGTTTGGCTTCGATCACGACATGGGCCTCACTATTCCTTGTGAGGAAGTTGCTTTCAAATCTCTGATCACCTCCATGCTCTGAGCCTCTGATCAACATATACTTAGGGCTTTTGGTTTTTTAGATGTTTCTTTTCTTTTTTTAGAGGAATAAGCTTTATTTTAGCTTTTAGATTTTAGATAACTTTGGGTTATTGTTTCCTTTAGATCGAGACTAACTCTAGAGATACGAAGATACCTCTAAGAGAACATGTGATCTATCTATTTAGGTTATTTATCTTTCGATGTTGTAGGGAAAAGAATAAACAATGGTATGTAAAATTTCTCGTCATGGTGGTCTGATTATTTTATCTGTACAAGTTGTACAACCCTCAACCCTGTGAGGGACTATTATATATCAGTATATGTTTTATAATTTTCTCCTTCTAATTTGGTTTTGTCCATTTTCTATGTGTATATCCATGCATAACATTCCATATTTAAAGAACCTAAATATAAAGTATCACATATTATATCAATTCTACTATAACGTGTTGAAAGTATATATGTAAAGTCGTTGGTTACATTTGAAGAAAATAAGAAATGGAAACTTATTTCGTTCCACAAGTGAGCATCTAATTATCAACTTGGTTTTTAGCAAAACTTGTTTTACTTTTTACTGTATCTTTTAATTCGACCTCGTCCAAGAAACTTTTTTTGGACTCGGCAGTTTTTTAGCCGTTGACACCAGTGGCGAATCCACTTAGGAGAATACGGTGTCAAATGACACCCTATTCATTTTATAAAATGTAAAAATATAGCTAAAATACCAATAGATTCATTAGCAAAATTGGTAAAATATGGTAATTGACACCCCTATCCAGAGTTCGAATCCTCACATTAACCCCTCTATCCATATTTTGACCCCTATTAATAACAATTCTGGATTCGCCACTGGTTGACACTGTTAAACTATTAAGTGTTTTAAAGAGAAAAGAGTGACATGTTTTTTATATAGGAGAGAGTGGGACAAAAAATACTGTTGGAGAGAAGTCTTGCATGTGTGAAGGAAAGACAAAATGCATGGTAAAATAGTGAAATGTACTCATACCAGAATCTTCACAATGATATAGGCTTTGATTGGTTACAATAACATGGAGCATTACAAAGTGTAATGCACATAGTGTAACCAATCATATGAACATTACACTTGTGATAGTACAAAATGTGTGTTACAAAAAAAGGAGTATTACAATCAAAAAGTGATGGTACAAAAGGCAAAACAATGGTTCAATTGTAATGCTACTTTTTAGTAGTAGTACAAAAATGAATGATGGTACAAGAGTAAACAACACAAATCATATTTTCAAATCATATATGTAAGACGTGCCCACACACATTGATACATAAATCAAAATTCCTCTCTCAAATAGTTTCAATACACTTTCACATCTATTCACATCTAAGTTAAGAGTTTTATCTCTTCTCTAGATCCACTCAAGTCAAGGTATTTTCATTTTTTTTTTTGATAAATCAAGGTATTTTCATTACTTTTGTCAAACTAGTGTTTTTTTTTTTTTTTTTTTTTATCGAACTTGTCAAACTACTTTATTAGCTTTGTTTTCTATAAAACTGCTAATAAGGTTTGTTCATATTAGATTTGTATTATATATATATATATTTAATTCTATATAAGTTTATATAACTTCTTGCATAGTTTTATGTTATAAACTATTGAGTAATATTAATATTATCATGTAAAATTGGCATTCACACTCACTTATTTTTGGTAATTATTTTATAAATAAAATGTAGAAGTAATTAACGTTTAGTGTCATAGTTTCTAATAATGGAATAATTACATATACAAATATATCATGTAAAAATGACTTTTAAAATATTATATCATTTAATATATATATATATATATATATATCAATTTTTTTAAACATTTAAAATATTATGTCTTTGAAGAATTTGTAGTTTACATGTAATAATTTTTTTTTGCTAAGTGAAGGTGTTAGTAATTTTGTAACAAAAAAAAGTTGTGTTATATTGTTAGATACTATTTTAATTTTGAATACTTCACTAATTTATATTTTCATTTTACAATACAACTATTTGTACTATCACAATGTCACCAATCAGATTTTAAATACGTACTATCATTTTGTACTATTTCTTTTTGTACTGCTATATTTCGTACCACTGTTTTTCTTACAACCATCTTTCATACCACTGAAAATTCTGTAACACACCACTATTCACAACGTCACCAATCGGACCCATAATGACTTTGCGTAACACACAAATGACCAATCATTATATCTTCTATATCATCTTGTATATCATCTTGTATAGAAAATATAATGATTGATAACATATTTTGATGATGGTACAAGATGTAATGTCTTCTATGTAACCAATCACTACAAAGTTACAAACTAGTAATACAAAAGTAGTAGTACAAAAACAATGTTACAAACCACTACAAAATGATGGTACAACTAAAAAAGTAGTGGTACATTGAAAAGTCCCTTGATATGAATGTTATGTAACACAATAGTTTGTACAACTCTACTATTAGAATGCTTCAATAATAAAATCATGATAATATATCATCTATAGCATTACATTGTATCTTCTTTTTCTTAAATAAATATAGCACGATTCGTCGATCTTCTGTAACATCTAACTATACTATTATGATCACAATAAATATCACCGACTACAAACTGTAAATTTAGTCACTTATTGTTATAACTATTTTGAGAAAACTATCTCTTATTGTTAAATGAAAGATAAATTGTACTAGTGATGACCAAAAAAAAAGATAAATTGTAAACCTTTTATCAAGAGAAGAAAATAGATAAATTACGATTGAGACAAAAATATATATATATTGGGGTTGTCATATCAATGTCTGAGAGATAGCACATGCAAAGAGGGACCAACACTCTGGAATTCTGATGAAATTAGATCCCTACAATATGTCTTGGAGTTATGATCCGATACTATCAAGAATGGTACGAGATGGCCCACGTTATTGTTTTCGACGGCTCAGATTTAACTTAAAACTTTTTAACATAACGCATTGTTGTGCCTCTTCATTTATTTTCACCAAAACAATGCACGTTCCCCCGACCGTACGGTACTTAAACGGACGGTCCAGTTTCCTTAAAACCTTACAATAAGAAGAACTCTCGTTTATTTTGTTTTCTTCCAAACATATCTTACCGAAATTATTTACAGATTAAAACTCGACACTCCAGAGAGCCTTAAAATCTTATATATGATAAGAGGCCATCTCTCTCCAGTTGATCGACACGTCAGCACCGGGGAGAGATGGCCACGTGGCAGCTTCTCCGTTTTTCTCTTTTTCTTTTTGATTTGTTTTTTCTTCCCGACTCTTCTTCTTCTTCGTCGATTCCGGACTCTAAATGTTTCGCTGAATGTCGAATCGTTTATTGCTTCTACCTCTTGGACTCCACTTCATCTAATCACTCTCTTTTTCCAATTTCTAAAATTGTTTGCCGTTGCGTCGATCACTCTCCAAGCTTCCACGATCGGTTCTAATTCACGATTTGTTGGCCAAACGAAGCAGGATGACAATGAGGATTCTGGAGATGAGAAGGAGGGTGAAAAAGAGATGAATGAACTGAAATCCAAGGCGAAATCTGGAGAATTTAACGAGCTTCAGACAGAGGAAGAGATTAAGAATGAGAAAAAGCTTGGTCAGAGTCTGAAGAGGATTACGGCGACGAGGTATCGGAAGAGGAAGAAGAGGAGGATATTGCTGTCTATCGAGTGCGTCGAAGCTGTTTATGAAGAGGATGGACCAAAAATTGTGTGGTATGTTGCTTTCAACTTTATGTAGGAACTAGGAGCTATTGAGAAATAACATTTTTGTCATATTGCAAATTTTCGTGATTGTGATGGTTTCTACGCAGAGAACATAATGAATCTTAAAAAACAAATCTGGTCTCCAGATTTGTTTCGATAAGTTCTGAGTCGATGATGTATTATTTGCTGTTTCTACCCATCAGTCGCATCAAAGCAAGACTCTTTTAAATGAGGACGAACAGTTTCGTATTCCCTGGTGATGATGATGGTGCCTTCGTCTCTTCAAAACAAATCCTTTTGCTTGCATCTATTTGTGCCGGTATTCTCATGTGCAATCTTGCAAGTCTTTTGACCCTTTCTTTGTATATAATCAAAGAACCTGTTTTTCAGCTTCTACGATGCAAGAATCTGGAATTTGCAACTTTCTGATTCTTCAAGTTTATGTTTTTTTGTTTTCAAAGGTTTTTCACTTGACTGGTTTCATAAGTCCTTTGCTCTTCACTGCTTATGGAAAAAAAGTTAGGATGGAGTGGAACATCAGGTTTAGTTTTTTTAATCTCTGCATCGAGTTTGATCTTCTTTGCTGGATTATAGATACGTTTTTGAGCAAGAAATGTTTCGTTTTTTTCACAGGGGATTCTCAACTTCTCATGCTGTGTTCGTTTCTTTGCCGTCAATCTATCTCTTGCTGATATCTGATCAATTTGATGAGAATGTTCATGGCGATTTAGTCATTGATAGTACAACGAAGTTATCAGAACTCAGAAGCTGTAATGGGAGTGAGTTTCCAGGCAATAAAGATCATATCTTCTCTGCATTTGTTGCTGATGAGATAGTAACTTTTGTTTCTGAACAGACTTCCTTATGCTCTTTTCTAGCAGACTTAGCTATGATCATTTCGCATTTTTCTGCTCTTTGTGGTGTTGAATATGTAAGTGTTGAAGCATCATATAATATTTGCTTTTCTTTGAATGAATTGGTATAATTCATATGAAAATATGTTAAATATGTCAATTCAACTCTTCTTATCACTTTCCGAGTTTATTTATAAAGTTCATTTTATAATAGTACTGTATAACATACATTCTTAAAACCAATGCAATTACTGTTAGAGAATTGAGTCCATGATTAAGATATACACCTTTTTTTTGGAACAAAGTTGTTGATGCTTTTGACTTTTGTGACTTTAGTTCTCCTAAATCAACTCAAAATTTAATATAAATAATTAATTAACTGAATAAGTTGGAGTTTCATTTATTTGATATTCAAAGCTATTCATGCAGTTCTGCCAAATATATGTCTCATTTTGGAGTTGCACACGAGTGGGACAAAAAAAAACTTTCGAGAAACTAAACGAAACGTTGGGACGGAGAAGTTTTTTCTGTAATGATCATTTATATACTTTTAAAAATATGTTTCTATTATTTTTCCTTTATTTTTATTTATATTTTTGAAGTTTTCTAATAGATGATGCGTTGTACTTATTTTAAATGATTTAGATAAAATTCGACAACTATTTGTAAGCTTTGGATTTTGGTTCGGGTTTTTAGATTTTTGGGTTCAGAGATATGGAAACCGTTCTTTTTTTTTTAATTTTGGTTCGATTTGGGTTTTTGGTGTTTTGGCCTTTTGGATTTTCTCGGGTTACGGGTTTTTCGGATTTAAAGATATGAAAACCATTCATGTTATTTAAAGTTTAGGTTCTGGTTTGGTCCAGGTTTCCGGTTCAGGTTTATGATTGGGTAAAATAAACCATCATATTTTAAACAAATAAACTATTTTTACAAAAATGAAAAGATAGATTATACAAAAAAAATTGAAAACATCACCCGCGCGTAGAGTGTGCTTTAACCTAGTTATAATAATTGAGGTTGACTTTATAATAATAACAAAAAGGATTTTACAAAACAATAACAAAATTATGTGGGTGAAAAGGACTTGCATACCATCAATGAACTTGTTATAATACAGTACTTTTTTGGTTAATAGCTTTAGCTTATCTAGACTTCGGAAAGAAAAAAAGCGTATCTAGACATTCTTGATTAAGAATTTAGGTAATAGAATAGGCTTTTGTTATTTGTTTAATTAGTCCAGAAAATTTGTTTTTTTTGTAACCGGCTGATAAAAAAAGTTGTTATGAATCACCTTCCAGAAATTTTAAGAATATCAAAAGTTTTTTCTTTTGCAAATTACGAAAAGAGTACTTCCACGTTAGTGGGATGACTTATACCAACGTATTAATAATACTGTGAATTTCCACCCGAAAAAGAATGGTGTATACTCAATATAGTGATTGCAATGAGTGTGTATTGACAACTTATGATTGAATTTGAAACACTGGTGTGCCACTGAATGTGCATTAGCTGAAACAGTATTTGATTTCTAATCATGTCAACCATACGTACAAAATTAAGCCTAATTTCCTTTCTTTCACTTTGTTGAAGGCAACCTTTTCTACGATTCCCTAAGAAACAACTACTAAATTCTATACGGTCTTGTTGATGTAGACTCGATGGCTGTGAAAGTGTTGATCTTAATATATAGAAAAAGTAAGTCAATTCTAAAAACAGTTTAATCTCTTTCAGTGATCTGGTTGCTTTCTTCGTGACCGTTAATGTTTATTAGAAAAGGTATCTTAAGTGGTAACGTACTAACGCATACAATTTTACATGGATGTAAGAAAATCCAAGTGTTCTGAAAAATCCGAGAAAGACAAAAATTGTAAACAAAACATTGAGAATCGACAAGGATATTAATCAAAACCACATGGTATAATACATTCGGTTACATATCATAATCAGCATCTTTGCTATTTATGGTTGAACAAATCTCAATTAACAGCGCAAAATATGTATATGTAGGGCTAATTGTAAGACAAAACCCAATCTTAATATTAGCTGTCTTCAATGACAATGACTTAAGAGACGCACACTTGTCTGAGATTCAGAAATAGCTAATTAAGATAAATGCGTTTTCGGTTTTTCAGAAGTGGTCATAACAGTTTGGAATTTCTTTCGGAAACAATAAGTTCTTCGACTTGAAGTAGCTAGGATGCATGTGATATAGGTCAGATGTAAGAGAATGATAGGTCGATTTATTCTGGTACATGAACATGTGATAACCCTATCGAACCAAGCACTAGCTAGATGTTATCTCTAACTGCTTATGATTGCACTAGCTAGATGTTATCTCTAAGCACTAGCTTGATGATTAAATTATCACTAACTGCTGAAAACCTAGTTATAGTTCCACAATTAGGATTGTTGCACTTATGATAAACCCTAATCAATGTATCGGAATGTTCACTTATGAGACTTTTTGTTGGGTTTACTATAAGTCATTGGCAACCACATTAACTCATAACATTTTGTAAAATAAAAGTAGCCCATGAGACATATCAAGTGGGCTGATCTTAATATAAAATTGAGATTTCAGTTGCCCATGAGTGACAACTGACAAGTTCTTTGTTTAGAGAAGACGAGAGCTTGTGATTTCAAAGATGGGATTTATTTTTTGAACAAATGTACATTTTTATGAAGCTAAGCTACAGATAAAAACAATTACACAAATAAATGAGGAAAAAAGAGATGGGTAGATTGACATTTACACGCCGAGAATTCAACACCAAATTGTTGTCAGTACAGAAAGAAACATAAAAAAAAACTAAAGTTAAAAAAAAACATCCTCACAATGTAAAAAAAACCCATATATATAGCAATAGATACGATATACAACATAGTTAGATTTATACTTGTTTTTTTATTCTGTTGTTTACTTTGCTTTAGAGGAGAAGAACCTGCTGAATCCTTTAGAGTGTTTCTCAGGAGTAAGTCCAGACGAGGATGATGATGAGTTTGACTTGGTGTGTCTATGTTTTGACCCTACCGGAGATCTCATTGTAGTCCGCGATGGTGTTTCTTTCTCTGAAGGCGAAGTCGATTTGTTGTCTTGAGATTTTGTGGGAGTTACGCAATCGTCTTCTTCTTCTTCAGGGGTTAGGGTTTGTTCTTGGCTTGGAGAAGAAGCAACCTGTTCTGTTTGAGGACACATTGATTTGAGTTGCTTCCCGAGAAGCAGTATAGTCTCTTGACATTCTGCTAGCTTCTCTGCAGCAGCCGCTAGCTCATTGTCCTGTAAACATTCAATAACTCTTCATGAGACTTCAAAACAAAAGTCTCTATAACTATGTTAATAAATAAATGGGTTTGTGTTCAAAAGTTACCTGTTTGGTTTTAGGATCATCAGCTTCAGTTACTGAGCAGGTAGGGCAATTTTGGTTGCTCCTGAAGTTTTGAAAGGAATGTTAGAGATATTTAGAGAGTTTTATGATGAAGATGCGAGTAATGTTTAAGTTTTTAATATACCTTTGTAATTGCTCCTCGAGTTCTTGGCATTTGGTTAAAGCCCCTTGGTGATTTTCCTTTTCTTCATGAAGCTCAACTTCTAAGTTTTCGATTTTGGCTTTAAGAGAACTCAACTCGATTTCCAGCTCCGATGATCTAGTTTCAAGAGATCTATATGATTCCACCATGCATTTGAGCTGAGTCTCCGCCATGCCATTAGACCTCTGAGCAGATTCCAAATCTGACTTGACTTCAACGAGAAGCTGCTCTGTTTCTTGTAGTTTAGACTTAGTTGCTTCAAGATCTGCTTCACAGCTTGCAAGGCTCGTCTCTGCTTTTTCTTTCTCGAGTCTCAGTCCTTCAAACTCTTCTGCCGTAAATTTACAAGCTGCTGCTGCGAGCTTATTAGGTTCATAGCCAGATGCTCCGATACAATCATCTGGAATCTCGGAGTCAGAGCTCTGAGAGCAACCGTTCTGGTAATGTTCACCTGATGAATCTTTCCGCAGAAGTGCTTTGTTTTCCGGTAGAGCGACTTTATCGATGCAGTCCGGGCTGTGAATCTCCACCTCGGACGCGTTGAAACCAACCACATCGATCTTTAGCTCACTAGCTTCGACTAAAACTCGCGAAAGATCAAACAGAAAGTCCACCAGAGTTTTCTCCTTGCTCAAAACTCTGTCGAATGTGAGAGAGAACTCTTGAACTTTTTGGGAGAGAGAGTCTTGACACGGCGTTGCTTCTTTCGAAAGGTATGAAACAAAGTGGTAAATCTGAGAAAGAGCATGAGCCAGTTCTTGTGTTATTGTTACCTCAACGATGGTAACTTTTTCCTCTGTGGTCTCATTTGACATGGCTATCTCTTTTTCTTCTGTAACACCGTTTACATGCTTAACACCACCTGCTTCTTCAATGGCAGATTGTATCTCTCCCAAAATCTTCTCAAAGGCAGCATCTTTAGGAAGAGACTGAAGCACATTGGAGATTCTCTTCTTCAGCTGCGTCGCTGGTACAATCTCAGCCTCAGAACCAGCACTTGACTGATGATCCGTCGAACCATTTGCGTTTGAGACGTTTGGTATACAAGCTAGCTTTTCCATCTCAAGAAAGTCGTCCATAAGCTCCAGCTGGTTAGCACTCTCTGTCTTCTTCATCTTCGCACTGTTTCTATCCTTGTTGGACTGAGAGAACTCAGACATCAAAGACCCAGCGATGCTTCTCGCATCTTCGTTTCCGTCCTCAGACATTGAAGCCATACTTGGAGGATTACTAGCGTTTTGACGAGAGAAGATCTCAGCAGGCATTTCAAAGCCGCGCTTAGTCGGACTTTTGCTCATCATTTGAGCTTCCATTGTTTGAAGCCTGTTTGCCGTCTTAGCACAGATGTTCCTCGACACTTGAAGCTCGCTGTTACGCTTAGCCAAAGCTTCTTTCAGCATCTTCGTCTCTTCTTCCATCGCCAGTAACCTCTCTGTCAGCAAATCGTTCTCTTTATGGAACTTGTGCGTGTTGTCAAGCGAGAACTCTGACATATGAGACGAGTGTGACATCGGAGACATGAGAGGACTAGACGGCCTAGCCGGTGACCTCCTCTGTCGATGATCTCCATAGTCTCTGCCTAAACTCTCAACCTCCATTTTCATCTGCGCAAGAGCCGCAGGACCAGGGAGTTTCTTTCTCACCAGAGTCCGTAATCTTTGACACTCAGCTTCCAATTTCGCAATCTTCTTGACACCTTCCAAATGCTGCTTGTTAGCTGCTTCTGCAGATCTCATGCTCATATTCTTCTCCTCGTTACGGATCTCCAACTCTTTGGTAATCACATGAGTTTCGTACTTTAACGTGTTGATCTCTCTCTCGCAAGACTCTATATTGTTCTTGAGATGCTCAATCTCAGACTCTGCTTGAGATTTCTCTTCGCTTATCCTCATAAGCATGTTGGACCGCTCTTGCAACGACCTCGAGAGCGCGTCGTTCTCAGCTGCAGAACGGAGAAGCTCATGCTCGAATTCCCCAATCTTGGACTCGAAATCGTCCTTGAGCTTCTCCATTTGGTTGGTTTTGCTTACAACAATGTCACGCATCTTCTGCTCATTCTCTTCCTTGAGACTCCTTATCTGCCTCATACACTCTTTCAAAGCTCCGTCTAAATGCGCGGCTCGGTCTTCAACAGTGAGCTTAGCGAGCGTAACGGTTTCGAGATGAGTTTTCAAAGCTGATGCTTCTGCTTCAGCTTTTTCCCAGCCTGAAAAACAAATTTTCAAACCATATACACTAATTAATAACATGTGAATAGAGAGAGAAGAAAACACACAGAGTTGCATGCAAAATTTTAACCTGTGACAGCTTCTTCAGCGACTTTGGAGTGTTGTTTCACTAGAACCTCCTTGGCTGTGATCTCTGCATTTGCTGTGGATAGCTTCGAACCCAAATCCTTGATCTGATCTTCCATTTTTTCAACTTGCTCCTCATACTTTTTCACTTCGTCTTTCAAACTATTTAGCTGCGAGTATTGATCAATGGAGATCTGGATGTAGCTTGGCTTCTTCTCGTTTCCCTGTTTTTTTTTTTATAATTAGAAAAAAAAAAACTCAGAATGAAGAAGAGCCAAAATCTTTGAATTTAATGAAGCAAATCTGAGAAATTAAGTACCTCGACAACTTCTGTCACAGAAGCTGCTTTCTCTGAGGACTTCTTCTTCCATGGCCAGCTCTTACGATCCATCTTCTTCTTCTGCATAATCAATCCCCACAAACAATTAAAAACTCTTCAGAAAACGAGAAAAAAAAATAACCCAAATTCTCAATCATTATACAATCTCAAAATTCGGATTAGGCAAAATAATTATGAACTTTCCGAAGAATTAGTGAACTCAAGTCAAATTAGAAAGCTAATAAATAATTGAGAATCAGAGAGATCCGGAGCAGAGACTACCGACGATCGCTATCGACCAGAAAATTCAATCGGAAAGTTTACTCCCAGAAAAAACGAATAAGTTTTGTGATTCCGATGAGCTTGAACACTTGTAAACGAAGCAGAAGCGACACGAACGGAAGAGAAAAAGGAGGAAAAGAATCTAGAAAGTGAGAGTAATGATCGAATAGCTCCAAAAACCGATTTCAAAGGTGGAATCGCGACAAATGCCATTACTAGAATTCAGCAAACTTGAGGATTAAAAAAGCCAACGGGAAAAAATGGCAGAAGAGGAATCGCGCAACAGCACAAAAAAAGCCTCGAAAACAGTAAGATACTAATATCACCGAAGTTTTCCAACAGTTCAAATCTGGAAACGAAAAGTCACCGACGGCGATTATAAAAAACAATTCAAAGCTCGATTAATTAGTAGAGCCAAAGCTTGTATAAACAAACGAAAATCCGAAATCCAGAACGAAAATGCTGAATCGAATCAATCCCATAACTCTAAGCGATAGAAGACGAGTATGATAAGAAGAAGAAGAGACAAAAAAAACTCACCGGAAAATTCCAAAATGCAGCTGCGAAACAGAATCTCCCGAGAAGCAAAAATCAGGAGAGAGTGAGAATCATCAGTATCAGGAAACAGATTGAAAAAAACACAGAAAATCAACTCTGTTTCTAGATAGAGAAAGAGTGGTGGGTTATGGTGTGATAGTGGCGGTGATGGTGATGGCGAGGGTGAAAATAATCTATGCCTTCTGTATCACTTCAAAGCCTAAAACGTAGCAGAGGCTCTCCTTTAAACAAATCAATACCTTCGCTTTCTCTTATTTCCTTTTTTTTCCTCTTATTTCTTTACCCTCCTCTTAATATATTTAATTAATAAATTACCAATAATTCAATTAATATTCCTTTGTTTTTGTTTTTTCCATTTCTGCTTGTATTTAGATGTTTTTGCCTGATAAATCCTAAAACCTGTAAAAGTCGGGACAAATAAAATACTAAATCCGTATACACTAGCCCTATTTTTTAATAGGCATTTTATAATTTCTTATCACGATGATAGCCAAACAATGACATGAATCACATGTGGTTCCTTTCTATACAATCCCATTAATAGATTGAAGACAGAAGAAAATAAACATAAGCTTTGACGTTTTGGAAACGAAGACTTGAATTGTGAAAGCGTTTATTGTATTGGCTGTGTTTGTGTCAGCGTGTGTGTTTATATATATATCACGATAAATTACTAGTACTATGTTTAGAGTCCTTGTACGTATTTTGTTAGTGACACTAGTAAATGGGACTGAGTCGATATTGTAATTTTACTGCACTGTTTATTCGTTAGAAATTGCAGCGATACGTGATGCTTTTTCTTGCATTATTAGCATACTGTTTATACCACTACAAAGCATGGAATAATATTAGCTTTACCTTTATATGAAAACTCAAGACAAACGTGACAAATGATTTAGCACAGACGATTTATTTATGCTGATAATGCATATGTACATAAAAGGCTCATTAAATATGTTTCCCTTACAATTTTTTCTTCGTGTTAATTTTCGTCGAGAATTTTGACTGGTTTTTCTTTTAATTAACGCTGACTGATTGTACATCGAGAATGATGTAATGTATGAAACCTGTATTTTTAATTGGATTAAGTATTCAAAATAATAAAATGATTATGGTAAGTTACTTAATGGTAGAAATATGGGAGATATTAATTAAGTTGACTATGATAAATAGACTAGAGATATTAATTTATTTGAAGCGTCTGTTTCCACCGCTTAATTATATTATCTTGCACTTAAATAATTAGATAAAGACTATCAAATTTGTATTTTTCTCTCCCGAAAATAGAGTATAAATACAATATGAGTTTTTGTCATATACTATAAACAACCAAAAATACATGAAAATGTTTTATTTAATGTGATTAAATTCATTCAGCGATATGGTCCTTGCATACAATTGCATTCATGTAAGTTTATAGACAAGACAGCGAACAAAGATTGTACAGCACAGTCTGTAAATGGCAATTCCACGGACCGAAAGTAAAGGGAAAAAAAAACGAATTATTCATTTTAAATAAAATTGGAAAATTAATTGAAAAATGAAAACTTTTATAACGACTTGCATCTTTTTTTTTAGAACAAAAAAAAGCAAACATTGTTTCTCGTTTGTACCTGAAGAGTAAAGGTTAAACTAATATGATTATTATTAAGGTGGTTTTCTCTGTTAAAATAGGATTAAATAGCTTCGACTTTACATAATAATCATAATTAATTACATTAGGTACATCATCTAATATGTCTACTGTCTACCTACACATTTCATCCATTTTTTAATTAGATAAACAAATAAGATGCTCACCATCCGAATTAAATCCAGGACCGATCTTCCTTTTTTGTATGTATGCATACATACATATAGAAAATTGTGTCAATGAGTATTTTAAAACAAAATGTTTGTCTGCCGAAATTTTGTTTTAAAAACATAATTTAGCTTTCGAAATAAAAATCGTTTAAATCTTTAACAGGAAAAATCGTTTTAAGAGGAGAAAAAGAAAAGTCAATATCCAACTATTGTCGAAAACTCGAAATCAAAACAGCAGCTGACAGCAAGGAAAACACGTGGCTTTGTTTCACACGTTACAATTTTGGTCTTACTGTAGTATGCGCTGTACAGTATTCTATCTCACAATCAATCCAATGGCTGTGATCTGCTTTAGCTATTTATTCTTAGCTTCACTCGCCCGTAACAACAAATAATATATATATTCACCATCAATCAATAATAGATAGAATTCGATATTGTTGAATCTGATTCTTTATACTATGCTTAGAATCAGATTATCTAAAAATCCTAACTTCATGAAGACGTATAAAAAAGACAGACACTATCTTTGAAACAGCAAAGTATTGCTTTTAGATATGTAAAAAAAAAGGAAAAAAGCGTTAGAAAGTCATGGATTCTAATTTCTAAGCAAGTTTGGAATATGATGAGCTGTGTTGGGTCGCGTAATTTTAATAGTAACTGACTAATGACGAATGATAATAAATTCAATAGTTATAAAGTAATTAGCGGTGGGTCCAGAATTAAGAAGACCACGTAACGCGCTTTTCGTCACGTGAGATGTCTACATTATCTAGGGTCATTAGTACGTTTGTGTGTGTTTATCAAACCTTTATCTCTCAATAATCAATTAGTAACAATTATACGACAATCCCTAAGCGAAGAAAAAAATAAAGAATTACAGAAGAAAATACGACATTCATCCTTGAGATGTGACTCGGGGGACAAAACCACCACACTGTTAACAAATAACAATCCATAATCGGATCACGACCCGCTCTGTTTTGGACTGTGTACCGGGTCAGGTCATTGACCTCCAGATTGTAGTACACAGACAAACAAAACGGTGTCGGATGAACAATCAAGTGGGACCAGCATCGTGTAATCGTATTAAAATATAGTCTTATTTGATTGAGGGAGACTGTAGCTGGGTCCCATTCAAAATAAAGCCTTGATACGTGTAAACATGAGAACGACATCGTATTCACACACACACGCACAAAAACACACTTGTATTATTCACCTCACCTGATGCCTTCGGTGAATTGCCATCTTCGACCAAACGACAAACTTACACACAAAACAAATAAAATACGTGACAGAAACAAACACATATTAATAGTGAAGAGTGATGACACACACACACATTTACCATCTGGACCCTCGAGATCGAATGAGAAATTAAATCTCTCTATTTTTCTTACTCAATACACACACAATCACGATAGGTTTTATAGTTTTCTTACGTTTGTTGAACATTTTGTAAAATAATAGTGTTACATAAAAAATGGGCATAGAACCAAAAAAGAAAGAGATTAGTGCTGACTCATTCAAACTTTCAGATGTTGATTGTTAACCTAAACACGCTTAGCTCGAGATTTTAAATAATAATTACCGACAAACATCGATCCAAATTTCGTTTGGTGTACGTAAGCTTATTATAAAGATTCTATAAGTTTCGCATTAGTTAATTCATATCTCGAGAGCAAGTAGAATATTGTCAATCAGTTCCACACTTGTGCGTCCTAAGTTAGGACTAACCTCCTTGTTTATTCTCTAGTAATCAAGGGTTCCATTTACTTGATTGGGTACGGTGACGAGTGACGAGTGACGACCCATCAAACCTATATTTATAGCAATAAATAATACTTCATCTACTAATCATCAATTTTTATTACAACTGCCACTAAAAGCTGGACCTTGCTATTTAATTGGGAAAAAAAAGAAAACAGTACATGGTTTATTCGTTTTTATAATTATAGGTGGTTGTTTAATTTTCATTTATTAACTTAACCGATTAAACGTAGATACTGACCTAATACTCTTAACTGTTACCAACGACTACAATAAAATACAAATAAATTTCCCTTTACCAGCTAAAACAATGACAGAGGTACATCAACTACTCACAAAATCAAAATACACAGTATTTTATAAATATAAATTAAGAAATAGAACTATTTATTAGATTTTTATATAAAATGTGTTCATATGTAGACATTTGTGTAACTATTCCTATTTCCATAAAAAAAAAATCGTTTTCTTTAATCTAAAACAAAAATATCCTCGAACTGAAATACATGTCCGTGTGGATGGCATTAAATTAACATGTCTGATTTAGTTTCTGTCTGATAGTATATAACTATATTAATGTATTTCTTTTAATCCGCTAAAAGATGTGAAAATATTCATGTGAACGAAATTCCAAAAAAAAATGAATACTAAAAGCG